ATCTAACCACTTTAGTAACTAACAGTCTTAAAACTAGTAGAAACAAATGTAATTTAAGTCAAGGAGAACAAGAAGAAGAAGTATGAATACTTGTTGAATTTACCACGGAATCTTATTGTATAACAATTATTTGTGAATAAATATTCCGAGTGATTTAAAAAAAAGCTTCATTTATCCATTTAGTTTTAGTTCTAAATAAGTAATCCTTCCATCCAGCCATAATATAAACTATTAGGATGCGGATGCACGAATCCATTATCGGATCAAATAGTTCGAATCCAATGGGTTCTCAACAATGAATTGTTGCTGTTGTGGTTCCTACTTCTCCTCGAATGTCTTGTAATTTCTTTTTTAAACGTTAACATTTTCAATAGCATTATTATTCTCGTATTTAATCGGGATTTTAATTGGATAACCTATTTTACAAAGTTTAAACAACTCTATATAGCGTGTTGATATTAAATCGATTTTATCATTTTCTTATTCATAGAATATAAAAAAAATAATGATATTGTCCTCAAGTTTAAAAACTATATGCATAATCAAGGGGTTTTTTTAAAATATTCTTTTAACCATTCATTATATTTTTTTAATTAAAATATATTTGAATTTTTATTTTTCTAAAGATTTCAGGAATTTCAGACAATTCGAAGATTTAAAATTTGTTTAAATATTTTTTATTATTATTTTAAACTTATAAATATTATATAAGGTCTATAATTTTTAAATGTTTTACATGTTTAAATTCAATATAAAACGTTAAATTGATCACAGTTAATGCATTAATATTCTAACAAAAAAAAAAAGTAGTAAAAATATGCTAATTTTATTTTAAAAAAAAAGCTTAAATAAAACAGAACATTATCATAATTTTTTGATGCTTTGATCTAATTAATCTTTTTATAATTGTAATAAAAATTCATTTAATAAATGACAGTTTCCGACATAAATATGTACTTAAGCGGAATAACTAAAGATAAATAATTTTACAGTCCATAAAGTTGTATTGGAATATTTTTATACTAATGAAACTGTTCTTTTCATACTGTTTTTATTGTTTATAAAGATAAGAAACAAGTTCTTTTGTAATGGTTTTCGTGCTTATCGTGATTTTAAATTAGCCGAATGTAAATATATCATTTAAATAATTAATTAAATTGCTGAGATATAGAAACTATTTATTTTTATTATATAAGAAATGTTAAAGCTTTTAGAATTATTATTATTATTATTATTTAATTTCTAAAGGAAAATCATAATCATTTTACAATTCGATTTAAGGATTGATAAGGCAATATCACTCTTTGAAAGCCGTAAAAGTATGTAAATAAAATGAATAAAACGAATAAAAAATACCTATTATTGAAATAAACTTTAATTTATATTACTTTAGCATCATGATTTTTATATAAAATGTATAATTTGGGGGTTTTTTTTTAGTGTTTGGAGCGTAACCCAAATGACTTCTTAATTAATCCCTACTTTCTGAGCCTAATTCGAGTAGTTAATTTTATAATTATATAATAATATTTTCTCTTTTAAAATTGTTAAATAATAACCTAAAGTTTTAAAAAATATATAATTAAAATTAGAAAGAGCTTCTCTCCCATTTCATATTGCTAAGCAAAAAGAAGAGAGCTTAAAAGCTTATTAATTATCTATTTATTTTAAAGAGAAATTAAGTAAATGAATAAGTTAAGTAAAAGATTATTATAAGACAACATATTGGAAGAAAAGAGCGCCAAAGGCATAGCAATTAATTTCTATGCATCGCCGACTTGATGGTGTTTTAGATAAGATACTGCCAACAGGAAACGAATGATGCACAGCTTTCACGAATCTCTCACCATTGAAAGTATATAAATTTTTATAAATTTAAATACATCAGTTAAATCTAATTTGAAGGATAATATTTCTTTTTTTATTACCTATTCAATACTTTTAATTAATTGTAGATTAAAGATCTGAAATCACAATAAGCTTACATTATTTATTTTAATAACACTTTCATTTAGTTATAAATTTTAATTATATATTAAAAATATTTTTTAAGTTTAGTATAAGACTGTAATATGTTCTAATCAGGACTGGATTTAGCGTGTAAGGGAAGGGCCCTTTTATCACGTAATAAAAACTTTAAAACGTGAGGCCTTAAACATGTCTTTTTACGTAGAGTAAGGTCCTAAGCTTTAGCTTATTTTGGCCCTAATTTTGAGATCAATTTGGTTCTTAAAACTTCTACACGCCTATGTCTACACTACAATTCTCAAGGGCTTGTCGCGAATATTACTCATCGTTGGGCGTTGAAATCTGAGGGTGAGTAATGAAGTGAAGTTCCATTGAAGTGATTTGAGCAGTTGATTCGTAATTTATACGCTTTTAAAGCGAATAATACGTAAAAGAATATTTAAAAAAAACTAAACAAAACTTAAGTCATTTTTACTTTTTCCTGTTTCAAATTTCCCATTAAATTTTTCAAAATGTAAATAAATAAAGAAAATATTTTAAAAGTTCACTTCAACAAATCATTAATGACATTTCTATTACGAGATATTTTCTCATTGATCATCCGAATTTTATTGTTACCGTTATTGTTATGCCGCTCTCATTAGGGACAATATAACTGGAACCGATTATAACCCATTCTGGGTGGGCCAGAATGGTAATGAGGTCGAATAACACATAAAATGAAGGATAGAGAACGACGCCCGATCAAATTACTCATGATTAATTTTGATTCCTGATCAGATTCGAACCCGAATCTTCAGCAATATCATCGGAATTTAATGTAAATTATAGATATAAATATTACATTTATTTATATTTATCGTATTTTGGAGTGAAGAAGATTGAGGTGAACCATCTAAAACATTATTAAAATGCTTTGTAAGTGTTCTCAAAATTTCAACCTTTTTATCTTAATATTAGAAGTGGATGAAATTTGAGTTTCTATTAATAAAAATCAATAAATTTATATTTTATTACTTCTTATAATTTATAAAATTGTATATAAAATTCATCGCTTTACTTATCGTTAAAATAATTGTTAATCATTATCAATTCTTACATGTAAAGCTCATTAAATCCTAAATGATTTCAATTGATGGTCTTGTAAAGTTTTTCTTTTTTTTTTCTTATATTCTTCAGAATAAATTACAATTGAATTGATCGTTATCGGATAAATATTCATTATTTACTATTAATGAACCAAAAATAACATCAATTTAAAAACAAAGAAAATCTAAAATTTCTAATTGAATTAGTCGATTCGAGTTCATTTCCTATTTTTAAAACATGTTAAAGGTTTAAAATTTCGAAATTGTAAGAAAATTAGAAGCATTTTCTTTATTTCAATTACATTTTTACATCACAATATCTAACCACTTTAGTAACTAACAGTCTTAAAACTAGTAGAAACAAATGTAATTTAAGTCAAGGAGAACAAGAAGAAGAAGTATGAATACTTGTTGAATTTACCACGGAATCTTATTGTATAACAATTATTTGTGAATAAATATTCCGAGTGATTTAAAAAAAAGCTTCATTTATCCATTTAGTTTTAGTTCTAAATAAGTAATCCTTCCATCCAGCCATAATATAAACTATTAGGATGCGGATNATTACAGTCGACCCCCCTATAACACTGTTGATAATTCCGTTTTATAAGAATTCCATGTTGTACGAGTCACTTAGATTTTACAAATAAGTGTGCCGGGCTGTGAACGGCTCACGTATTTGTAAAATTCAAGTGACTCGTACAACATGGAATTCTTATAAAACAGAATTATCAACAGTGTTATAGGGGGGTCGACTTGTAATTGGAGAAAAATTTCATTGCAGGAATAGAATCTATTCATTTTTATCGCACTACTGTTATTAATGTCCCAGTTATTATGCATATCTTTAACTTACAGGATAAATTAAAGGTTGTAGGTATGTATAGACTACAACAAAATATAGCTTATCTATTTAAGACATAAGACTATTATTATTTTATATACATTTAAACAGTTTGTTATTCGTATAATCAATAATAATTATTATATCTATTCTTTCTAGNCTCCTCGAATGTCTTGTAATTTCTTTTTTAAACGTTAACATTTTCAATAGCATTATTATTCTCGTATTTAATCGGGATTTTAATTGGATAACCTATTTTACAAAGTTTAAACAACTCTATATAGCGTGTTGATATTAAATCGATTTTATCATTTTCTTATTCATAGAATATAAAAAAAATAATGATATTGTCCTCAAGTTTAAAAACTATATGCATAATCAAGGGGTTTTTTTAAAATATTCTTTTAACCATTCATTATATTTTTTTAATTAAAATATATTTGAATTTTTATTTTTCTAAAGATTTCAGGAATTTCAGACAATTCGAAGATTTAAAATTTGTTTAAATATTTTTTATTATTATTTTAAACTTATAAATATTATATAAGGTCTATAATTTTTAAATGTTTTACATGTTTAAATTCAATATAAAACGTTAAATTGATCACAGTTAATGCATTAACTGTTTTACGTATTCTAAAGCATTAAGATACGTAAAACATAATTGTTCTGCTTGTTTTAACTGTTAGCAATTAAATTAACACAATTAAATCATTAAAACAAATTAACAGGACTTAATTAACGTTTTATTAATTCGTTTAAACTTTAAATGATCGAAAATATATAGAATTTTTTTTTATTGTTTCACGTAAAACATAAGAGTTTAAAACCGATGATCTTATTTATATTAAAAATGTATGCAAAAACTAATGTGTTTTTACGTTATTTGATTAAAATAGTTGATGATTTAATAAAATCTCTTCCATATTTAATTGCTAGAATCAATCCTTTTTAAAGTGGATATAATTCAAGAGATAAATACAGAAGAAAAAAGAAAAATGTTACAATTTGTCTAGTCTTTAATGATTTTATTTTTATTATAATCTAAATAAATGAAATACAAGAAATTATATTAATACGAATTAACGTTTTTTGCTTAGGATCAGACAGTTCTTCGCCTAAACCAACACCTCTGACATGCCACCTCCGACGTCACAAGAGCAATAGAAAACCCAGAACTCCTTTTACCACTCAACAACTTTTGGCTTTAGAAAGAAAATTTCGTAATAAGCAATATTTATCGATAGCAGAAAGAGCAGAATTTTCCAGTTCCCTGAGTTTAACCGAAACTCAAGTAAAAATTTGGTTCCAAAATCGAAGAGCCAAAGAGAAACGACTTAAAGAAGCCGAACTAGAAAAATTACAAATGGGTGCTAGGCAATATTTACACACTCCCGTCAGTTTTAACTTAGCTGCCGGACGTCCAGCCGTCTACTTACCATCACATCAAGGAGTGCCTTTTGGACCTTACGCAACTCTACCACCCTTAGTTGGTCCTCTATTGCCTCCCTATTGCCTGCCTTCGGGTCTAACAGTCTGTCCGAGGTGACGGCCTTCTCTTTAATCAATTTCTTTCCAGGTAAGATGTTGAAAATATCTTCAAGCAATTACCGTCAATATATAGGCTATATATTCTATTGTTTAACTGATACAACGTTCTGATTGGTCAGAAAGTTATTAATTTCTTAAAAGATCACACCCAAAATAAAAATCGAATATCGGAACCATTTAAAGTCTGAAGGCTCGCCCAATTCTCGTTAAGAATTATATACTTTTAAATTATTATAATTTAAATTAAGTCTATATTTTCTTTTTTAAAAAAATTATGTTTTAATCTTTAATTAAATCAGAAACAAATGTAGTATTTACAGTTGGTTAACACTGATTTTTGGCCCACACTATATGTTAAAATATTAATTTAAATACGTTCCAGAATCATTTAATTCAATACACTAGTATCATTCTTTCAGTAAAAAAAAAGTCAATTAATCTTTCTATTGAAAAATTCAACGTAAAGAATGAATGAGGAAAAAAATTATTGTGAGGAAATTCTTATTCTAAGCAAAAGACAAAAAAAAAAAAAAAAAATTATATTATTAATTTCAATTGTTAATTGTATTAACATAAAAGTTAATTACCAAATTTCGTGACTGAGATCGTAAATGTTTATAAAAATAACACACATTTTGATTAATTTATTATTCTCATTTGAATGAATTTTAGTGAAATTTTACATTGAAAATTTGAAGTTATATAAATTTAATACATTTAGAGAGATTTTAATTCGATATAATTGAGTTTCTATATAATCTTTAAGTATCTACATTCAATTCATTCTCAATTATAAATTAGTTTATATTAAAATACAAGTCGACCCCCCTATAACACTGTTGATTATTCCGTTTTATACGAATTCCATGTTGTACGAGTCACTTAGATTTTACAAATATGTGAGCCGTTCACAGCCCGGCACAAGTATTTGTAAAATCTAAGTGACTCGTACAACATGGAATTCATATAAAACGGAATAATCAACAGTGTTATAGGGGGGTCGACTTGTATTCATGAATCAAGTTAGTGTTTACACTACAGAAGCTTTTAAAGATTTTGGATTTTATAGACACAATAAAGACATTTTTCATTAATTTTTAGAATTTAGAATAAGTTTTAAAAAATTCATTCTTTAGAATTCTTTTCTTTATATTTGAGATGAAAAAAAAATAAAATAAAAATTTAAATTTAAATTTAAATATCGATAACAAGTAGGAACTTTTGCTAACACGGAAAAGATTCGACATCAAGCAAAGAACAAGTGATTGTTAATTAAGAAGAGCCTCACGCAATGTAGTAGCCCCGAGGTGGGTCATTATTCTAAAGACCGAAGCGGGAATAACAAAAGGACACACAAAAACAATGCAAAGTCTCATTAGTCTTCTAGTAAAAAAGTATCACAAATAAACTTAAAATCAACGAGTCTTTTGAGAAGTGACACTCAAATGTTTTCCTCTTAATCATTTGCACCCTCACTCGTAGAAAAATAGTACTGTTATAAGTTAGATTTTACATTAATTTTTGTAATTTATGAATAATTCAAAATACCTTTAGGGTAACTATTTAATATATAAAATTACGAAGTATCCCGTTTAGATGTTAAGTCATCACGCGAAGATCTCTTTTCTTTTTCTTATGTCTATAGAATGTGGGACTTGTAAAGTTTCATATCTTATAACATTTTTGTGGGGGATAGTTTACACTTTTACGTCAATTTTATGTCATATTTACAACGAGAAAGTGTAATAATGACATCAAATTGACGTGAAAATGTATATTATCTTGACAAAACGTGTTATTTTTATCGAGACAGTGTACGCTTTTATTCTTTTTGTCACGCTTATAACATAATTAATTAATTATTGTGAATTAAAAAAAATTTTTATAATATTGAATGCATATTAAAATAATTTAAAATTTTTTTTAAAATGAGATATTCACTTTCGAATCGATAAGAAGCAATCATTACAAATTATTCACTCTATACCAACAAATTGTACGAACTTTGTAACTAAAGACTCTTGAATTACTTTGACAAAAGGCAATTAAAACTGCTCTGAATAGAAGATTTCAACTTGTATCTGGCCAGATCTCAATTAGTTTAATAGAATTATATTGAATTTCCTGAATTTCCCACGCCAGAAGTAAATCCGGACATTAAAAAAATAAGATTTAAAATATATTTAATCTATGTGCGCTTTTTATAATTAATGAATTATACATAAAGTATTATTATTATTATTATTATACAGACTTTCTAATACTTATAAGTGTAGATATTTTTTTTTTCTTTAGAAATGAAATATATGTGACGTCTGCTGAATGGAGAGATGAGTGATGCTGAGTGATAGAAGATTTATAATAGGAAACGAATTATTTCCAGTGAAAATGGAATTTTTCTTCAATATATCTGAGGTATTACAAGCCTAAGGTAGCTTTGGAAGTTAAGAATCTCATGCAAATTTGTGGAAATACTGTCTAGTTGAAACGAAATTAGTTACCTTTTGTTTTATAAAACTATATTATACAAACGTGCAAAGTCCTCGATTGTAAATATTTGTAATTATTCCAATTTAAAATATGCATTAATTTGTTTGAAGCATAATCTATTGACGAGACCGCAAATACTGTTTAGAAATGTTAACGTTTAATATTTATGATATAATAATATAGTTTAATGCATTAATTTGATCAGTTTCTAATATGGCAAGTGTTACTATTGAATATGAAGAAGAAGAAGAAGATGATGATGATGATATTATTGGGAATTTAAAGTCTAAATGACAAGGGACTCCTCAATTTATTTGTTTTTTTTTCTGAAATATTAATATAAAAATTCGTAATTAATTTATTTAAAAAATTCTTAATGATTCATACAATTTACACACCTTTACATTCTTACATGCAATAGACCTTTTGTTTTTACTTTAAGTGTTTAACAGACACTATTCTCACTTAAAAATACATTAATATGAATTACAAATAATATTTTAAAAAATTCTTTTAATATTTTTCTAATATTATTAAATAAACAAGCTGATTTAATGAGGATAATTTATCTCCACGATAATTCTTGTTACAATCGACCCCCCTATAACACTGTTGATTTTTCCGTTTTATATGAATTCCATGTTGTACGAGTCACTTAGATTTTACAAATACGTGAGCCGTTCACACACGTATTTGTTAAATCTAAGTGACTCGTACAACATGGAATTCATATAAAACGGAAAAATCAACAGTGTTATAGGGGGTGTTCGACTGTACTTAAACGAGCTTCATTTAATACAATTTTCATTAAATTTGAAGGCAAAATATTGATTTTTCTGAGGTTATTTTTTGAGTTTAAATCTATTCAATTATCTTGAAAAATCAAACTGCCTGGAAAAATATTATTCTATCTTTATTATTGGAAAGAGAATGATCGATTTTCTATACGTTGTAAAGAGAATCTAGTCTAAAAATATTGTGGAGTCTCCTGTCAAAAGACTTACATTTTAATAATAATAATAATTAGTCTTTTATCTAGACTACTCCTTACAAAGTGCCTTTTAAATGTATAGCTGTGGCTCATTTCTTTTGTATATATATATATATATTCTCTATGTAGATAAATATACAAGATTATGTAAATAAATTAAACAATTTTCACTTTTCTGAATTCATTTCTTTAATTATATCTTAATTTAAATTTTATTTTTACTTCTTAATATAACTTATACTTAAATGACATTTGTTGGTTATAAAAACAATACAAATAAAATACATATTATAGTGATTATTCATTACATCGGGTTGTCACTATATCAAGATCCCATGATGTTAATTTAAAGTAAACTCTACGAATCAGAGCGAAATATTAAATAACTAAATTATAAGATCTAGGATTGCATATTTATTACTTATAATATTATATATGTATAAATGTCTTAACATTCGAGGATCCCAAAAGAATAATATTTAAGATTGGATTTTTCAGGGCTTATAAAATATTCAAGCTGTTGTAGAATTGTTGATAATGACCACAACGAGCAGTTGCAGGCATTGCAGCGGTGACACAAAGGAACCCCTACTCTTACTTTGCCTATGATTTATCACCGTGAAGCACGCAAAGCAGATGGAATGCGTCTTTTTAGTCCAGTTCTTTTCTGTCTACCGCTTATTAGAAAACGGATGCCCTGAGCGACTAGAGGTTGGCGTGATCTCTAGCCCATGGGTCGACAAATGCAAACTGATTTACGATGGACTTAGAAGTGGATTGTTCTAGATATAACATTATTGACGATATCGCACCCCAAACGTTTTACAGATAAAAATCACTCGCTACTAACTGTCGAGACCTCTTACTGACAGCCTATAGGCGATAGCATAAATCAAAGTGCCAAAAAAAGCGACGTGTGGGTCCTTCGACTGGAGTCAAATTTGGAATTTTTGTAACGTGGTTTCAGCTTTTAAAATACCTCTATTTTACGTTGACAAACGTTATTTTGAATAGAGTTATTGGGGTGTAATAAAGACACGCTTCAATGAGAAAGTTCTAGGATTGATAAATTTAAATATTATAATATAATTTATGGATTAAAAAAATTATAAATAAAACAAATCTATCTAAAATAAACTTGATTCAATTTTAAATTAGATTATACCTTGATATCAAGCTATTATTTAAGGGATGATCTTTTTTTTTTCTTAATAAATAGCGTGTTTCGAGTATAATTTAATTCTTAGAAAAATCTAAAGGTTAAATTACTTTAAAAAATTATTCTGAGAAATATAATAATAGAAAATAACGTAGTGTATAATATTCTAATATGGTCATTATTTTATATAGGCCTTTCTATTTAATATAAAACTTCTACTATGGAAGTAAAGATAAATTGTTAATGGTTCGATTTAAATATATATTTGTTAATTTACTTGAATAGAAAAATGAGTAACAATTTAATTTAAATTAAACTTTACATGTAAAGTGAGGAAGATGAAACTTCCTTGACCCGAAGAAACGAGCTTTTCTAAGTTTCAATGCTTAGTTAAATCTATTTAGAGTTATTGGTCATTGTTTTCGGGGTTTTATCACGCAATGTTTAATCTCGTTGCATTTTAACAAGTTGCGCCTTCGGGCTTAAGGCTATAGCGTGTGTCTATTTGGCACTACATTGTGTCGAAACTAATTTGTCCGGACGCTTTTCTTTTGTCTTTACAACTCAATCCCCTAACATTTTTTTTTTCTCATCATTTTTTAAAATTAACTTCCAGGAATTTATTCGAAATATTATCGTTTTTTTAATACTAAAAAATTATATTGGTCAATGTTATTTAAATCGTGATATCATAGAAATAATAATGTATATAATTAAATATAATTTCGTTCTCTGACAGTAAAACTTATATATAAACGTGATTGTATAGAAATTTCTCAATAAATTGTTCAAAATGAGGAATAATTCTTAAGAAGAAAATAAGTATTTTAAGTAAAAAACAAAAATAATTAATTAATTAATAGAAAAATTCAAATATTTCTTTGTTAATTACACAATAAAATTTTAATGAATTAATTTATTCTCATTGAATAACCTCATAAAATTATATTCTTTATACAAAATGATACAAGGCGATTCGCACAAAGAAAAAAAAAATGTCACATCCGTATTATTAAACGCCCAATTAAAATCTATTAAAATAACAGCAAAAATAATTAATTAATTTTAAATAATAATATAATTATTTAACTTATTATATTGACAAAGTTACATAATAAAAATTTAAAATTTACAACACTCCAAATAGGCCTATATACTTTTAGAACTTTATTTTTGGAGATTTTATAAATAGCATCTTTTAAGCAGTAAATTTTGTTACGTAACTTAATTTAAATTTTAATTCAAAATGATGGTTAATTTTTCGAAATAAAGCAAACAAATTTTTATAATATAATTGTTTCTATATTTATTATTTAAAAAAAAAAAAAAAAAAACCAATCTCTCTATTTCTAGTGTCAAATTTTGACAAAGTGGCTTAACAAGTTCGAAAGAACACGCAAACACGAAGCACACCTTTTTCAAAACGTTAGATTTTCGTCAAATTGCCACTATTTATATTGAGTGGAAGGACACGCGACTAAACTATTCAATTGTTGACCGTTTTTTTTTTTAAACAAACGAAGTAATTAAGATTCATTCTACTTTTGTTTCTGGACTACCGGATCTAAAATAATTGTGGCCACTCACGAAGTCGGAAAAGTTCCTTTTTTTTTTTTTTTTTTAATTTCTTTCTTTTTCTTATTCGCAAACAATGAAGCATCAAACCAGATGAGGGAATTTACAAAGGTCGGCTTTCTTGTGAGGGAACATGTCAAGCCTAATTACACTTAACGCATCGAGTGAATCGGTATATTCAATGCTGACGTTTTACTAAAGTGAAAACGATATTTTATAACACAGAATATATTGGAATTTCAATAATTATTGAAATTTTCTGAATATAATTTAGTTTATTTTCAGGAGGAAATGATAAACATTTAAAGTGTATTTATCAATGGAATACAATTTTTGATAGCATACCAAAGAACAAGTATATCATCAAACGTGTCTTTATAAAGTATTTACAAATAATATTAAAAAGTAAACAAAAATTAATAATAATTTTTTAAAATATTATTTGTAATCATTTAAACAAAACCGCATTTTATATTTATAAATTAATGTAGAAGATTAGAAAGAATTCATAATTTAAAAAGAAAAAAAAAATGTATTTATGAGTGCATTTTTAAAATGTAAAATTAAAGTTAGTTGGATAAGAAATAAAACATGAAGAGATAAACTTGTCTATAGGCAAGTTAGAAGAGTGTTTAATATGCTGGCATATATGGCAGTAAAGCCATTTGAACTCCATTAGGATGTAATAAGAAGCATCATTAGCCCAACCCAAGAGTGGAATGGTCCAGATGAGGTATCGGCGGAAACTTCCATTGGAAGCGATAGGTATCGAGCTCGGACCACACACGCAACTGGTCTGACCCGAAGGGGTATACATTAACAGGCCAATGTTGGGGGCAGGATCTACAAATCGTCACTTTATCTCTTACTTAGACGGTTCTAATAATGGCCTTACCTGAAGCTAAATAAATCTATCATTCCGGGTCTAAAATTTTACGTCAATGTTTTTTTTTTTTTTTTGGTCTTATTACATCTTTAAATTTGTTATATGCATCGTGATTTAAGGAAGTTTTAACATAGAATTATTTAATATCAGGATCTCGATGAACTTCAAAGAATAATACTGACGTTCATTAAAATTAAATACGCTTTTAAATAAAAGACACTTTTAGATAATTCCATTACTTTTTTATTCGTTATTTTCTTTACGATTTTATTAATATAAGAAAAGAAATGATTTTATATAAGCAATGATGTTAAGGTAATAAATTTTCAACAAAAGTAGTTAGAATAAAATTTTATTACCGTTGAAAAGATATCGTTTAGACTTTAATTCAAGCAAAAATCTGGTTTATTTTAATGTAGCTATTAGGCCCACCACCAGGTCATAATTGGTAGTAGAGAACAGAGACATTAAAGAGTGAATTATCTCTTTACTAAAATCCTGTAACTTAGGAGGACCTTTTAATGCCCGGGGCATTTAACAGTAGCCGAAAGAAGCTAACGAAGAAAAAAGATTCGCTTCTGTCTTTTTAATTGGCTTGATACTTTAATAGTTTTCTTAATAAAGAATTTAAATATTATGATTTATATTCTTTTAAATTAAAATTTAACTCGACCTTTTATTATTATTATTATATGGATCTTTATCTAAATTAAAATTAGAGTGAGAACTTTTAAAATTTGTACAGAATTAATCTTTCTCTTACATAATCTAGCGAATAATAAATTATATTTAATATTATAATTTAGTATTTATGATAATTAATGGACGGTTGTAATTTTAAATGTTAATTAATATATTTTAAAAGCTTTACTCGAAGAATTTATGAACAATGTAATAAATAATTTACCGTGTTTCATTTTTATTAAATATATCCTACATATATAAAATTACGGGTAAAGTTCTTATTTAAATGAATATAAATAAAACTTCTTCGAACTTATTAGAAGCTTTCTGAATGAGCTTGGAGCAGAA